GCCTATCAGTCATCTCACCTTCTGGCACTTGGGATCACAAGGTCCCTGTGGTCCCTCGATTTGTGGGTCAACAGGTGATAAATCATAGGCCAAGAATTTCCTGTCCACGTCATCAAACTGCTGTGGTTTGTTCACATTGTGTCCAGCAACCTATAACGCATAGCTGAGGTTAGATGTGTCCTGGTCAAAAGGGATTATGAGTTTTAGGAACCAGTTTAGTTGCAACCTATTTCCACCACATTGCCAAGATGAAGTCAGACACATAGGTGGGAACTGGAAAAAACTATAGATCAGGGGTGTCCAACCTTTTTTAATGTGGGGCCAGATCATGAACTTTTTATCACCCAGTGGGCTGGCAAGCCATATTCAAACATTGGGTCTCTCTGGCCCAGGATAGAATATCCGGGGCCAGAGAGCCCCTGCCTGTGTAGCCCTACTGCACCTGCCTCTTACTGCAAGGTTCATGGTAGCTGCTGGTGCGCAGGGGCAGGAGGGACCCATTCTGCATCCAGCCAGCTACTGCCCCAGGGACTGAAGGGGAGAAATAAATATCTCCACATTTCCATCCCCCGAGCAGCCATTAGGAAGCTGCTGAGGGGCTGGGGGAGGGACAAGGGGCGGGAACGAAAGTAAATATTTTTTACTTTCGCAGCACCGCGGGCCACAGAAAATGCCTTGGCGGGCCGCATGGCAGTCCGTGGGCCGTATGTTGGACAAACCTGCTATAGATTTACACTGACCTCAAATATCCTTTCTCCTCGTAACTGATATGTCACCAAGTTAGCAAATAACCATGAAAGGGCCAGAAAGTTATAGGATTACAGGAAAGTAGAGTAGGAAGGGACCTCACAAGGCCACCTAGTCCAGTCCCCTGCTCAAGGCAGGATCATCTTCGACTAAAAGCTGGCTCTCATATGTGATGGGCTTGTTGGTCTAGGAATATGATTCTCACTTAGGGTGTGAGAGATCCTGGATAAGCCCAGATTTTGAAGGATCATATTTCTGGGAGTCTGAAGGATCATATTTGTGGGAGTCCAGCAGGAAAAATAATGCAACAGGGAAACCAGCATGGATTCGTAGCAGGTAGATCATGTCCAACCAATCTGGTTTCATTTTATGACAGGGTCACAAAATGCTTAGATGCAGGAGTAGAGGCGGATGTCATTTTCTTGGACTTTAGCAAGGCCTTCAGTATGGTATCTCATCCTATGCTCATAAATAAATTAAGAGGCTGTGACATAGATGTTTACACAGTCCAGTGGGTGGCAAATTGGCTTGGGGGTTGCACCCAGAGAGTGATAGTTGATGGGTCGGTATGGACCTGGAAGGATGTGGGCGGTGGGGTCCCGCAGGGTTCGGTCCTTGGACCTGTACTCTTCAATGTCTTCATCAGTGACTTGGATGTGGATGTGACGTGTACTCTGTCTAAGTTTGTGGATGATACTAAATTGTGGGGTGAAGTGCACACTCCGGAGGGTAGGGAACAATTGCAGGCAGACCTGGACAGGTTAGAAATGTGGACAGTATACAATAGGATGCAATACAAAAGGACAAGTGCAGAGTGCTGCACCTAGGGTGTAAAAATATCCAGCCCATCTATTGGCTGGGCAGTGACCCTCTCAGCAGCACAGCAGCATAAAGGGATCTCGGAGTCCTAGTGGACTCCAAGATGAACAGGAGTCGTCAGTGTGACGAAATCATCAGCAAAGCTAACTGCACTTTACCATGCATCAACAGATGCATGACAAATAGATCCAAAGGGGTGATACTTCCCCTCTGTGTGGCATTGGAGTACTGCATCTAGAAAGG